GAATAGAAAAGCAAACCTACTATAATGCCTTATTATTCATTCTTACAGCTTTCCATGAGTGGAACAGTACTTTTACTTAGTGTTCTTTCCAAAGAAATAAAAAAATCACAGGAATTGCATTCTTTATGTTCTATATGAAGAGTCTACTCTCTAGTTAAAGACTAAGTGACAGTCAAATTCACAGTTTCCAATCTTAGATTTTGTGCTATGTCAGTCAAAGTTTCTTTTACTTTTTATTCTCAATTTTATGTGCTATCGGGGCCAGTACTGTGGCATAGCAGGTTGATCCTCCGCCTGCAGTGCCGGCATCCGATATGGGCACTAATTCAAGTCCCAGCTGCTCCACTTCCGATCCAGCTCTCTGCTGTGGCCTGGGAAAGCAGTAGAAGACGGCCCAAGCCCTTGGGCCCCTGCACCTGTGTGGGAGACCTAGAAGAAGTTCCTGGCTCCTGCCTTTGGATCAGTCCAGCTCCAGCCATTGTGGCCATTTAGAGAGTGAACCAGCAAATGGAAGACTTCTCTCTCTCTCTCCACCTCTGCATTTCTGTAACTCTGCCTTTCAAATAAATAAATAAATTTTTTAAAAAATTATGCCCTGTCATTTTCATATAGAGTCCCTTCATTTTTCTGACTTTCACTTCAAGAATTTACAGTAATTACAGACTCATGCTAACCAGTGTGGATTAACATTATTTCCTATTTTTTTAAAGATTTATTTATTTATTTTAAAGTCAGAGTTACACAGAGAGAGGAGAGGCAGGAGAGAGAGAGAGAGACAGACAGACAGACAGACAGACAGGTTGGCCTTCCATCCGCTGGTTCACTCCCCAATTGGCCACAAACCGAAGCCAGGAGCCAGGAGCTTCCTCCAGGTCTCCCACGTGGGTGCATTTTCCATGATCCATTTAGTCTGGTCACTTCCATTCTTTTAACAATTCTAGCCCTCCTCAAACAATCTGAGAGGGAGAACTCTCTCCATGTCTCTCTCCCTGTCACTCTGCTTTTCAAATTAAATAAATCTTTTAAAAAATAATCTGAGATGTCTTATTTTTGGGGAGAAACATTTTTCTCCCCAAAAATGCTGATAAAATTATATTTTGAAAAAGTACCGATGCAGTACTTGCAGCCTCTTCACTACTTCAGAGTAAGAATATTTCTTGACTTACAACAAAGAGGAAATGTAACTTTTAAGGCAACTTTGAAACAGCTTCTTATTCTCACAAAATCACTCTCGGGGCAGATGTGTAAAACTGCTGGTTAAGCTGCCACTTGCAACACTCCCAACCATTTCAGAGCAACAAACAGTTCAAGTCCCAGCTGCTCTCCTTCCAATCCAGCTCCATGGTAATGCATCTGGGAAAGCAGCAGAAGTTGGCCAAAGTACCTGGGCCCTTGCCATCAGCCCAGATTATGAATACCCAGACACAGTCAAGGCTCCTGGTTTCAGCCTGGGCCAGCCCTGGCCATTGGAGCCATTTGGAGAGTGAACCAGCGGATGGACGCTCTATCGTTCTGCCTTTAAAGATTTATCTGTTTGAAAGGCAGACTCACAGAGAGGAACAGGCAGAGAGAGAGCTTCCATCTGTTGATTCATTCCCTAAATAGCTACATCAGCAGAGCTGGGCTGATCTGAAGCCAGGAGCTTCTTCCAGGTCTCCCACATGGGTGCTGGGACCCAAGCCCTTGAGCCATCTTCTATTATTTTCCCAGGCCATAGTAGAGAGTGGGATCGGAAGTGGAGCAGCCAGGTTTCTAACCCACACCCATAATGGGATGCTGGCACTGCAGGCTATACCACAGCGCCAGCAACCCCCCCCCCCCCCAAAGTCATTCTTAACTCATAATACGATCTCTCAGGTTTTTTTTTTTTTTTGGACAGGCAGATTTAGACAGTGAGAGAGAAACAGAGAGAAAGGTCTTCCTTCCGTTGGTTCACCCCCCAAATGGCCACTGCAGCCGGCATGCAGCGCTGATCCAAAGCTAGGAGCCAGGTGCTTCTCCTGGTCTCCTATGCGGGTGCAGGGCCCAAGCACTTGGGCCATTCTCCACTGCACTCCCTGGCCACAGCAGAGAGCTGGCCTGGAAGAGGGGCAACCAGGACAGAATCCAGGGCCCCGACCGGGACTAGAACCCGGGGTGCCGGCGCCGCAGGGGGAGGAATAGCAAGTGAGCTGCGGCGCCGGCCCTTATATGTTTTCAACCCCTAATATTAATGATTTTCCCCCAATCCCGGCCCCATTATCTAAAAACAGACTTCACATCCACCATCACCACCAACTAATGAGTGAATTCACACGCAAGTCCAGCCCTAACATAAACTGATCATTTCAGCTACCTTAGTCTTTCTGTCTCACCCTCTTTCTCTGTTGTTCTGCCTTTCAAATAAATAAATAAAGCTTTTAAAGAGGAAAAAAAAAAGCTTTACACAGTATGATACAGGATACAGGACTTAGAGTCTGATAAATGCACCTCAAACCCTACCTTGGTCTTTCAAAAATTTATTATTTATTTATTTGAAAATCAGAGTTACAGAGAGAGAAGGAGAAACAGGGCTCTTCCATCTGCTGGTTCACTCCCCAAATGGCCACAACAGCTGGGACTGGGCCAAGCAAGCCAGGAGCCTGGAACTCCATCCAGGTCTCCTAAGTGGGTAGCAGGTGCCCAAGAACTTAGGCCATCTTCTGCTGCTTTCCCAGGCGCATTATCAGGGAGCTAAATCAGAAGCTGAGCATCCAGGACCGGAACCAGTGCTTCTATGTCCTATCAGTGTTGCAGGTGGCGACTTAACCTGCTGCGCCACAACGCAGGCCCCTCCTATCTTTGTCTTCATCTCTAAACACAGGTATTCACCTACAAGTGGAAATAAAACCACCTATCTGCTCAATGGTTTTGAGGGTTAAATGAAATAAGTTACATGGTACAAAATTCTCATAGGCTGTTACACACATTTCACATTAAACATTTAAGATGGGGCTGGCATTGGGGTGCGAGTTAAGCTGCCATCCACAACACCAGCACCCGTATCAGAGCGCCAACTCAAGTGTGGGTGCTCTGCTCCCATCAGGCTCCCTGCTTTAGCTTCCCCCGGCCCAGGTCGTTTTTGTTTTTTGTTTTTTGTTTTTTAAATTTTATTTATTTATTTGAGAGGTAGAGTCACAAACAGAGAGAGGGAGAAACAGAGAGAAAGGTCTTCCATCAGCTAGTTCACTCTCCAAATGTCTACAAGGGCCAGAGCTGCGCTGATCCGAAGCCAGGAGCCAGGAGTTTTTTCCAGATCTCCCAAGTGGTTCAGGGGTTCAGGCACTTGGGCCATCTTCCACTGCCTTCCCAGGCCACAGCACAGAGCTGGATTGGAAGTGGAGCAGCAGGGACTTGAACCAGTGCCCATACAGGATTCTGGAGCCACAGGTGGAGGCTTAGCCCACTATGCCACAGTGCCAGGCCCTAGTTTTGTTTTGTTTTTAATATGGTGACATTCTTTTTTTTTTCCTTTTCTTTTTAATATCTATTTATTTGAAAGGCAGAGTTATAGAGGCAGAGAAAGAGAGAAAGAGGTCTTCCATCCTCAGGTTCACTCCCCAAATGGCCGCAATGCCAGAGCTGGGCTGATCCAAAGCCAGGAGCCAGGAGCCAGGAGCTTCCTCTGGGCCTCCCATGCAGGTGCATGGGCCCAAGGATTTGGGCCATCTTCCAGTGCTTTCCCAGGTGTGTTAACAGAGAGCTGGGTTGGAAGTGGACCAGCCAGGACTCAAACCAGCGCTCATGTGGGATTCCCGCACTGCAGGTGGCGGCTTTACCCACTATGCCACAGTACCGACCTCAGTTTTTGTTTTTAATACTGGATAGTTTCCTAAAAAGACTTTAGAAAATTACTGAATAGATTTAAATCTGTAATACTACATAAACAGGCCGGCGCTGCAGCTCAATAGGCTAATCCTCCGCTTGTGGCGCCGGCACATCGGGTTCTAGTCCTGGTCAGGGCCCTGGATTCTGTCCCGGTTGCCCCTCTTCCAGTCCAGCTCTCTGCTGTGGCCCGGGAGGGCAGTGGAGGATGGCCCAAGTGCTTGGGTCCTGCACCCGCATGGGAGACCAGGAGAAGCACCTGGCTCCTGCTTTCAGATCAGCGTGGTGCGCCAGCCGCAGCGGCCACTGGGGGGTGAACCAACGGAAAAAGAAAGACCTTTCTGTCTGTCTCTCTCACTGTCCACTCTGCCTGTCAAAAAAAAAACAAAACTACATAAACAATACTAAAATTACTGCCATGGGACCGGTGATCCAACATCCTATATCAGAGTGCGAGTTCAAGTCTTGGTTCCTCTGCTTCTGATCCAGCTTCTTGCTACTACCCCAGGCATAAATGGCCCAAGTAATTCGGCCCCTGCCAGCCATGTGAGAGACAGATGGAGTTTCTGGCTACTGGCTTCATCCTGGCCCAGCCTGGCTGCTGCAGCCATTTGGGGAGTAAACCAGCAAATGGAAGATCTCTCTCTCTCCCCAGCTCTGTCATTCTGCCTTTCAAATAAATGACTCATAAATAACATTACTGCCCAATCAGGGCATGCTATCAAGTAAGAGAAACTCAAAGAACACTAAAGTTTGGACACAGCTCATAACCATGCTGTGGGATCCTGAACAAAGTCTCTATCTCTAAACCTCAGTATCTTCATATGTAAAATAAAGACATATTTAGGACACGGCTGATGGTTCTAATATGGCATCAGAAATGTAAGGTAATAGAAGTACTCTATTAAAATCTTTTGCTAGCATCTCATAAACATGCTGTCATCACAAAAACTTTGGAACACCCATTTACTTTTTTAAAATGTTCATCCCTTTTAATTTTAGAAAACGCCTTATAAAACAATCATATTTTACAGACTATAACAATTACAAATCTTTAATAAAGTGTAATTCCTAATAATTCAGGGGATACCTTTATTTTTCTGCTTTTGCCAAACCAAGTCCCCAACTGCCCCCACCCTCTGAATAATTCAAATTACCTTTTCAAAGCTGAAAAAGTTAGCAGTGTTTCTAAGTGTGTCGAGGCCTGCAGATCCCTTTTCCTTACGGAGTGCTGCTGGATGTTAGCGAGAGAGAGGATATCGTAGTCCGAGAGCAGAGAGTCAAGTTCCTCTGAAACAAAGGTAGAAAGGTTATTAGCACCCAGACGACCACTCAGCCGCACCACCGTCAGGGCAGACCCATTCTGAGGAAATAACGCATTACTGGTGGACATTCTTACAAAAAGAGAAACTGAATCTAATGAAGACCTAACTTCCAGTTTCTAGAACATAAAGGGGCTGGATGTTGCCCAGTTAAACAACAACTGGAAGAAGCAATCAGCCACACCTAGACTGTCAGAATTCCTGCAGTACAAAGGATCCAATTTCTTCAGGAAATACACGGCATGGGGAAAAAGGGAGGGGCAGGAACACAGCAAGCAATTGCTACGTGAATCCTTCCAGATCCTAGAACAAACAAATCAACTCTGAGGAGACAAGTGAAACACTCAGAGAAATCCGAATGTGGACCATGTATTAGATCCTAGTAATTTTCATGTCTGGAAGTGTGTGTTACACATGGAGGTAATTTCTAAGTAAAGACGTTTCTGCCTTGTACATATAGAACTTCTAGTATCAAAGTGGCCAATTTCATCTTTTCCTTGCCAAAATGTTAACAGCACTTCCTTATCAGTTGATGTATTACAAAAAAAGAAACAAATGCACTAGTGGCCTTAGAAACCAAACCTGGGAAAATAAATCTTTTATAGAGAAATCACATATTCCAAATTAAAGAGCAAGAAAGTGGTAGTATCCTTGTCACTGCTGTCTTCAACAGACACACAGTACATCAACCCATACACACCAAGACGTGATAAAGCCAAACTAATCTCAACCACCCCAAAAAAAACCAACAGGAATTATTTTACCAGATTGAGTCAGCACCGAGGAAAAGCACAGACTTGTCTCCCAAGATAGAAAAAGAACAAATAAGTTTTTATTTGGTATAGACAAAAATAAATGCAATAAAATATCTGCTATACCTAAAAATCACTTTTCATCAACAAGAACTCTGATGTTGCTTCCAAAATCAGGATTTTTCAGAAGAAAACTTGGGAGCCTTGAGCTTCTTTAAAAACCGTCTAAGATGGGCAGCACTGTTAAGCTCCTCCTGTGGTGCCGCATCCCATGTGGGCACCAGCCCGAGCCCGGCTGCTCCACTTCCGATCCAGCTCCCTGCTAGCGTGGATGTGCTCCCTGCACAAGATGGCTGAACAAGATGGAAGAAGCTCCGAGCTCCTAACTCCGGCCTGGCCCAGCCCCGGCCGTGGCAGCCATTTGGGGAGTGAACCAGCAGGTGGAAGATCTCTCTTCTCTCTGTAACTCTGCCTTTCAAATAAATAAATAAATCTTTAAAAGAAAAAAAAAAAACTGTCTATAAATATTTGGACTGATGCTTCACATCTCTCAACAAATACCACTGCAGAGGCAATGGTATATACAAAATCACTCCAGTGGAATTACCATGTCCTCAAAATATAGCCGAAGCTGAAAATACACGTTTATTACTACTGATGTTAAACGTACTCATAAAACCAGTTTTAAAAGACAGGATCAACCCAACACTTTTCTTCCGCGTTCTCCCGTGTCCTCAACTGGTTCGTTCATCAGTGTATTCACTCACTGTTTCGAGTCAGGCACTGGCCTGAGTGCTGAAACACGGCACAGGATGAAATCCTGGTCTTTTAGTGTGGGAACGGCAGCTGGTGCACAAGAATTGCGTAGTATGTCCAAGAGGTGGACGTTAAAGAAGAGAAAAGAGAAAAGGAATGGGAAAGACTAGTTTACACAGTGGTCAAAGGAGGCACAGGGCCTCACTGCTACAAAACAGTCAAACAAACTGGAAGAAAGCAAGGAGCCAAGCACGCCATCTGATCAAAGTAAATGGGATCCACATCCAAGGGTCTAACGCAGGATAGGATTAAGTAAAGTGGCAGCAACTTCACACTTGCAAGATATGATTCCTTTTTTGTTTACACAATTTCCTTTTTAATTTAACCCACAGGAAACCTGTTTCAGAAGGCATCAATCATTGTTTCGCCAGTGGATGGTGGCTGATGATTTTACTCAATATAATGCCTGATGGTGCCGATGGAAACCTTCAAGAAGCTAACCGCTGCTTTAACGAGTTCTGATTGCCCCCTGCAAGGTACTGTGCTAGTTTTATTACATTATCTACACAAACTCCCCTGGGGTGTGATTCTCACTTCACAGGTGCAGAAACAGACCGATGCCACAAAGCTAAGAGAGCACTGAATGTGGCTGTATTTTGCTTTTTGGCTTTTTTTTTTAATTTTATTAATTAATTTTATTGTATTTATCCACTGCGCCACAACACTAGCCCCTGAACAGGGTTTTGAACTTGGGCCTGCCTGGTTGAAATACCCAAGCATTAATGACGCCATAGTTTTGAAACTCTAAAAAAAGAGCCTCGTTCTTCTGGGAACCTCTACACCTTGGCTTACGACTCTGACATGTCAATTAAATGTGACTTCTCCTGAATTCTAGAGTCCTTTGTTTACACCTTATCTTCTGTCACTTTTTTATGATATATTTGTCTAATCTCACAACGAGATTATGAAATGGCCAAATGGGTGCTGTTTTATTCATCAGTCTCTTTACCTAACAATATTCAGCGTGGAACCCTGCTCGCTTCAGCACCCATGTTCATAATCTACACGAATCCTCAGAGCTGAGCTGCCAGTACCTCCACTCTCCAACTTCCCTGATACAGGTTGCTACATGAACTCAGTTTCATGCAAGATCACAATCACTCCACTGGCTCAGACACTCAGCCTGGATACTGCAGTTTCGGTGTCAATGACACAGGCCAGCAGTTCTCAGAGGAAGTGCCCACACCAGCAGCACAGCATCACCGCAACCTGTGAGAAACGCACACGTGCAGGTCTCCCTCAGATCTGCTCCAGCAGAACTCCTCAAGGCAAGCTCCAGCAATCTGTTCAACAAGCCTTCCAGGTGATTCGTGCGCACCTTCAAGTCTGAAAATCACCAGACTAAGCTAACAGAAAGAGCTCAAAGCATACAGCCTTGCATTATTTTTAAGAAAACTAGGAACAAGACAAATTGTTAACTGAGAAACAGCTAGATAAGTTACAGCACTTCCAAAGAAAGCGGAAAAAATCCTAACCATTTAAAATGTGGTTTACAACAGGCTTTTATAAACAGGGGAAATCCTTAGTGCTATAATGTTATCTAAAGAAAGGTGGATTTAGGGGCCGACACTGTGGCACAGTGGGTAAAGCCGCTGCCTGCAGTGCCGGCATCCCGTATGGGTGCCAGTTCCAGTCCTGGCTGCTCTACTTCCGATCCAGCTCTCTGCTATGGCCTGGGAAAGCAGAAGATGACCCAAGTCCTTGGGCCCCTAAACCCACAACTGGGGAGCGAACCAGCAGATGGAAGACCTCTCTCTCTGCCTCTCCCCTTCTCTGTGTAACTCTGACTTTCAAGTAAAATAAACAGGGAGGGAGAAAGAGAGGGAGGGACAAAGAGAAAGAAAGAAAGGGGGGGAGAGAGAGAAAGGTAGATTTTAAAAACTATTCACAGTGCACGATCTTAACTGTATAAAAACAGGCCAGTGCAGGGGTGGGGGGAAGGGGGAAATCGGCAAAGCAGGTAAAACACCTCTTGAGACGCCTACATCATATATTAGACTGGAGCCCCAATTTCACTTCCAAATCCAGCTTCCCAGCTTCCTGCTAGTGTGCACCCTGGGCGGCAGCAGGTGATCTAGCAAGTACTTGGGTCCCTGCCACCCATTCAGGAGACCTTGATTGAGTTTCTGGCTCCTGACTGCAGCCTGACCCAGCCCCAGCTGTTGTAAGTATTTGGGGAGTGAACTAGCGGATGTAAGATCTCACTCTGTCCCTCTCTGCCTTTCAAATAAATTTTACATAAACAATAAAAATAGGCTTAGAAAAAACAAGAGCAAAATAGATGGGAAATCTCTGCCTTTCAAGTAGGGAAAAATAATATTTAAAGAGAAAATGATACAATTTAATTCAAAAAGTCAGAGTAGAATATTTGGTTACTTACCCCTCCCACCCTTCCTGGTCTCTGCCAAGTGCTCCAGTCTAGTTTCCCCAACTTGGGCTCTGGTCTACAAGTCCTTAGAGATCCTAGCCCCCTTCCTCACTGTTTTATTTATTATTATTTATTTTTAGTTACTGGAAAGGCAAAGAGGTCTTTCATCTACTGGTTCACTCTCCAAATGCCTGCCACAGCCAGGGCTGGGCCAGGCTGAAACTGGGAGCTGAGAATTCAACCCAGGTCTCCCACGTGGGCAGCAAAGACTCAAGTACTTGAGCCCCACCTGTTGCCTCCCAGGGTCTGCATCAGCAGGAAGCTGGAACTGGCAGCAGAGACTTAAACCCAAGTATTCCAGCACGGAAGGAGGGATCTCAAGCAGTGATTTAACCACTGGGCCAACGCCTGACCCCTCACTGCTTTTGTGCCTTTCCCATCCCCTCCCCTCCCCTCACCTCTACCCTCCCTCCTTTTCTGCACACCCATCCAACACTATCTGCTCTTTTCCATCAGACCTCACTCATTTATTCAACAAATACTGAGAAATTCCTACCTTTCAGGCACTAGGGATGTAACAGCAAAAGGTATTTTTATGCTGTGGCACTGGGGGAGGGATCAGCACATGAGAGATTAAAGTTTGTCACTTGCTGAGAGAAAGGTAGTTACAGGAAGTTCTGGAAGGACACATCCTGCCCTGCAAACCGAAGACGCTTTCCTAGGGAAGCGGTGTTAAAGACGGCACCAAGAGGAGGAGGTGGCAGCCAGAGAAGGGAAAGAAAGCAGTGCTCAGCAGTGGACGTAACATGTGCTGAACTCCACAAGAAACACAGAACAAAATCCCGAAAGGTGAGGCCGCCCAGTGAGCTGAGTGGACAGCAGCACAAGGAGAACCCTAGGGAAGAGGCTGGAGAAGAGGCCAGCTCCCGTAAGCCAGCGCCGTGGCACAGTGGGTTAAGCTGCCGCTTGCGACACCAGCACTGCACACCTGAGCAAGGGCTTGAATCCCAGCTAATGCACCTGGGAAGGAGC